GGACAGACCATTTCTTTTCCCCACACATTTCAGGCTCACAATGGCCAACAATTATAATTTCCCTCTATTAGGAGCATTAAGGCTTGCCTGTTCATCAAATAGCCTGTCCAAATTTAATTTCGTTGGTTTTCCAACCTCTGCCTCTCCTTAACCATGGCTCCGTCCACTGGTACTAATAACCCTTTTTCGATATCTACTGACAACTCTTGTCCATCCCAAACTACCCACCCAGGTCATTACTCAACCTTCAGAAAGCACCTGATTTTCCCAACATTTTTCACCATCTACTGCAGTCTTTTCTTCATTGTCTCCCCCCACCCCCTTCATTACTAATATTCATCTTTGTCCTCATCACAGTACTACCTCACCCCACACCAACCCTTCTTCCTCATCCTTCTACTGCTTCCACTTCTGCAAACCTTTTGAGTACTCTTTTTGGCCCAGCTAATTGGGATTAATTCTTTGATTTTCCCTACTGCCCCTTACTAGGACAATACTTTTCTCTTCAAAAAATGTCTCGAAGAACAAGTGGGCAAAGTTCCCTTTTACAGTCGTTCTGATCATTCATGCCTTGTAACAGTACATCTAAGTCACAAGCTTGTGCACTATCTACCCAGACTGACCTCACAGGCAAACCTATTCCTGCTGAACCTTGCTACTCTCATAATACTTGTATTGGAACTGTTTCCATCTCCCCAATTGATTGTCCTATCTATGAAAAACTGGTTAGACTGTGAAAATGACATACTTGTCTGCCTTGCTGACTATGCCCCTCCATTCCTCTCAGAGGACAGTGCAAGTTTTACACCAATATTGCCAAGATTAACTTCCATAGACATTACATCCCCTATGAATCTTATACTGGTAGAGTGTCCTGCCCTTCCTCATCAGTGTCAGAAATGTTGGTATTTTGGCCACACAGCCAAACACTCGCTCCACTCACTCCTTGCCCCTTATCTTCTCAAGGTGTTTCTGAATCCTCCAGTATCTCTTCTCTCTACCCTGAACCATCCTACCACTATTCCCCCATTCTCCCAGTCAAATTCTAAACCTAGTTACTCCATCTTATCTCTACCACTTCTCGGATGCCTACCCTTGATCCATCTCACTTTACCTGTCGCACCAGACAACTTAAATGTTCCACTCCATCTTCACTTTCCACATTCTCTCCTACACCCTCCTTTTCCTCTGCTCCTTGAACATATATTTCCACTGCTTAGATCGCCCCACCTGAATCTCTTGAAGATCTCAAAAAAATTCTAGGGCATAAATTACTGAGAGTTACATATAGAGATGGGGAGAAATGGATACTGCCATCTTATAGAGCATAAAAATTATAGTAAAATTCAACAAAGGCACAGCTGCAGCTGCTTTATATTTTCTGTGAAATGATGAAAATACTTGCTGCATATCACTGCTCAGAGACTTGAGTGTGCAACACCCTCACACAACCATGGTTGAGTTCTTGGCATGAAGTGCTAATAAATGGGGGTACAGAAGGGCTTGCCCCCCTGTTTAGGGAAAAAATAGAAGGTTGGAAAGGTTCGGTTGTTTTATGGGGTATACATGATACCCTAGTTTTGGGACTGAGGCCCTGTTCAGACGAGTGATTTTAGTGGCCCGACTGCTAGAAGCGTGACTATTGAGTGAAAATTCACACATGGCGCTGACATTGCCCTGACTAGCCTCTCGCCCACTATTGTATTTTTTATTTTTTATTTATTTATTTTTTTCTTCTATCTCTTTGGTCATTGATCATACACAGCTGATAATGGATGTAGGAGAGGTAGCATGTGCATGGATTTTATCTTATTGTTTGCAGCGGCGGAAGAGGAGACAGACGTTATAAAGTTGATCCTATCTTAAATGACACATTTCACCATGGAATGTTCTTCACATTGTATCCAAAGTTACGAGAACAAGAGCCCAATTTCTTTAACGACATGAGAATGTCTGTCATTAGGATGACAAGCTGGGGGAAGTGGAAGCTACTGTCGCTTGTCTGCCTCTGCTCCACATGCACTCTCATTGGTTGAATCCCACCCCCTCCAGCCAATGAGGTGCGCCATCACCATGAAAACGCAGTGGCTGTCGCCCTGCGTGTGCGGCTGCACATGTTCCTCGAGGGCTGAGCATTTGGGCGACTGTGAAGATAAGCCACTAGTGAGTGCACTCCTATTCACTTCCATTGACCAGGCAGTTGCACTTCTATCAGTCGTGCCACTAAAGTTGCTCATCTGAACAGGGTCTGAAAGGGAGCATCACTCTTGGTAGCAATTACCATTCCTAGACATGAAACAAGAAAATGTTCTACTCCCTTATTCACTCTCCAATCCCTCTATTCCTATTCCTTCTACATTTAAAGTATTTGCTGATATCCATCCTCCTCCTCAAGTTCTCCCTACCCCTCTTCCTCACACTCTTTACTAACACACCCCATCTCCCCCTCCATTAGTATCACTTCCTCTTTATTCCCCGTTATCCTTACCTCTCCCACCTGGATACTCGCGTGAATCCCTTCTGTTGTAACACTGTCCTTCTCTGGATACCTTCCCTCCTGACATTCTTCCCGATACTTCACCACCTTCCCCAGTCCCCTTATCTCATACTCTGGAATATTTTCCTGCTATTTCTCCAACTCTACCCGTTGATTATTTCAAAACATTTTTGCTAGTTTTACCTTAAACAATATTCCTATAGCTTCCCCAGCTGCAGAGACACTCCATTTCATCCAATTACCCTATGCTCTTAATACTTTCCTTTACTATCTCCAATTTACTTCATCTGCACCCCTCTTTACCCTTTCCCCTATTATACTATCCTATAACACTATAACCTTTGACATTTAACACACTATCCTAATGATTAATTCATTTTTAACCTTCATTTCATAATACTTTACAAGTGCTATATGACATTAGATGTCTTGCACATATATTTGTTTCAGCCATTAACCATATGTAGACATCTATTTATTGAAAATTTTCTGCTGCATCAACATATAAGGTCATTAGCAGCGTATGCAAAAATACAGCAATAGGGCGAAGCTTAAGGGCAAAGCTCCCAGGTAAGAAAAGGTCATACAGTATTATGATAAAGTATTGTGACAAAAAGGTTACAAATGGGTTCACAATTAGGACAAAATATGTTACATGTAAAAGGTTGTAGAGCACTTCAGGTTAGTATGGTAGTGAAAAGGGTAAAGAAGAAATAACAAACGGAGTACAAAGGCCGTTTAGGACTGAAACAAAGCCAGCCTTTCACCCTTTCAGCATGGCTCTCACACTTAGGATGTGAACAGAAGAAGGGGATGAAGAAAGGGAAAAAGAAAAGACCATGCGAAATTAGTTGAGGCGAGGACAGAGGTCCAAGGCACAGGTGATCCCCCACATTGGGCCTTAGTCTGTCTTCTAAGCCCCCCCACCCCCCCTACAACAACAACAATGGGCATGGGACTGGGGGGGTACATAGACATAGGAGATGGAGACTGAGCCCCAATCTAGGGGATCACCCCTGCCTTGTACCAAAGCCTTCGCCTCTACTAATTTTGTATGGTCTTTTCTTTTCCCTTTCTTCATCCCCTTCTTCTGTTCACATCCTAAGTCCATGCTCTGGCTTTGTTTCATCCTAAACGGCCTTCTCCGTCAACCCAAGCCTTCGCCTCTACTAATTTTGTATGGTCTTATCCTTTCCACAACCATACTAAGTACCTACAGCACTCTACAACTTTTGTCATTTTTTCCCCTTTTGCCCTTCCTAATCCACTGTTGGTTATTGTGGGATGGGGGGCTTAAGAGATAAAGAATAAGGCCTAATGTAAGGGATCATCCCTACCTTGGACCTCAACCCTCACTTCAAATAATTTTGCATAGTCATTTCTCCCTCTTTCCTTTTCCTTTTCATCCCCTTCTGTCCACATCCTAAAGTGTGAGAGCCAAGATGAAAGGATGAAAGGCTGGCTGTGTGTCAGTCCTGAATGGCCTTTGTGCTCGTTTCCTCTTCCCTCTTTACACTTCTTACTTCCATACTACGTACTCTACCTACAATATTTTGTCTTACTGCTATATGACCTTGCTTTACCTGGGGGTTTTGCCCCCCAAGTCTCACCATATTGCTATATTCTGAATATGCCACTAATGACCTTTGATGTTGACATGGCAGAATTTTTTCATAAAATAGATAAAAGAAATATTTAATAAAATAATTAGCACAAAACTCTTGTTACATCATATATACAAACTAATTTGTATGTTAAAGTCCCACACTTTTAGAATAACAAATTTGTTTGAAAAATGTGGAAACTAGATATTTTGGTGTTCAGGCTGTGATTACTGATGTGAAATGATTTGACTGAGCATATTCTTTTGGTTAGGTAATGCCTAAGACGGCTTAGTAGATTCAAATATAGTAATTTATTCTCTGCTTAATTCACTACTTTAGAATAGGACAGGAGTAAGAAGGGGGTGCTTTAACAAATGGGAGTTCAAATGTGAACTATTTATATTTTTCACAACAAAAGATTCCTAGGTAGGGGAAACTTGAGGAGGAGGAGGATGCATATCAGCAAATACTTTGAACACAATATATGAGAAAGTTGATGTATGAACCCAGGTTAAATAATTCAAAGTTTCTGTATCCCAAATGTCATCCATATTTTACCACATTGCAAATAAAAAAGAAAACGATTTGATATTTATTTTAGTAGGAAAATGCTCATTACAAGCATAATTTTTCCCAAAAATATTTACAAAAAGAAACTTTTACCTATTGAAATATATCACAGAATACTATACAACAGAGCATTTTTCAAATTCCTCTGTTTTCTCATCTCCTAGGCTCTGACCATATGTTTGAACAGTCACCAGTGGACTTCCCTGTTCACCGGGAAAAACGTGGCATCATACACATGGGGGCTCTGGTACCTGGCAGGATTGTCCATCTCGGTAGCAAATGGTCAACTTTGGTTTTCCTGTCAATTCTGCCCCTACAATGGACAATAAACTTGCGCTTGTTGGGCAGTGCTTGATCATGTGGATGGGACTTTCCTCATTTTCCATTGACACACTACATGGATTCTCTTTATTTTTCATTTCTTCTTATTCCTTTCATTCTCATTTCACCTAATTCTCTTGATCTTAGCAATGTACATCGGCCCAAAATTGGTAAGCAGGGAAGGCAAGACCACCTGGCCATAACGCAGGCCAAGATTGCTGCCAAACCTATACAGGAAGCTCAGTGGTCGCACAGCTTGGCTCATGTCTCTGGAAAATAATTAAAACGCTGAACACAACCAAATGATATCCAATGAAGACATGACAGGTTTTCAGAAATAAGTTTGAAAACAATTATATGATTACAGAATTAAATACATCTAGTCAGCCCCTACATTCTTCTTGAATATTTTAAAGATGAGTGAATGAGTGCTGTGGACATAACTATTCTTGTAAGGCAAGACTGGAAACTGCATTATTCCTAAGACAATTTTTGTGGATAAGGTATATAATATTCGCAAAATGAAATGTTGAAATGACAGTACCAATCCATATTTCTCAACAGATACTCTGATATTAAACAATACCCATTACCTGGCTGCTACTGAAAATTTAATGTCTTTATTTTATTTGTTTATACAAAACACAGAAAGCAACTATTTTCATGCAGGCAGAGTTATAGAAAAATCCTACTGTTAGAATGTAATAGTAATAATAATTAAAGGAGCCATTTGCTTTAGCTGAAGTACCATGCAGATTTATAACTTTTGGCTCACTATCAACTTGTTATCTCTGATACTTACAACTTTTCATACAATAATTGCCGAGTTGAGACAGTATCTATAAGTATACCCTTTGAATAACTTTTCTTGGCTAAATTGTTAATCAGCTGATGTGAATGAAGAGTTAGAAATCAGAAGTGCAACCACAAGAACATGACTTTGTACATATCTGCTTGTAATTTGCAATTCAGTAGTTTTTAAGGTAATTTTTTTTTTGTGTGTGTGTCTGAGATTTCAAGAATGCATCTTTTTGCCACATAAAAAAAAGACCAAAACTATCAGAAAATGGGTTCATAAAAGTTTACCTCATTAATGTTCAAGACTGTGAAAGAATAATAGAGAAAGGGAGAGGGAACATTAAAACTAACATCAACAAGAGAAAGAAGGGGGGAGGGGGTGCAAGGACAGTAAGTGAGAGAAGAGAAGAGAAAGAATGATAAAGAGAGTGAGAGATATGTTAGCCCTAAACTACAGAAAGAAAGAGAGTGGGGGAGGGAGAGAAGGAGAGGGAGAGGAGAAGAAGGGAGAGAGAGGGAGAGAGAAGGAGAGGGAGAGAGAAGAGAGAGGGAAAGGGAGAGAAGGAGAAAGAGAGAAAGGAGATGGAGAGAGGGAGATGGAGAGAGAGGGAGAGAGAAGGAGAGGGAGAGAGAAGTAGAGGAGAGGGAGAGAGAAGGAGAGGGAAGAGAAGGAGGGGAGAGAGAAGGAGGGAGGAGAAAGGAGAAGAAGGGAAGAGAGAAGGAGAGGGAGAGAGAAGGAGAGGGAGAGAGAAGGAGAGGGAGAGGGAGAAGAAGGAGAAGGAAGGGAGAGAAGGAGAAAGGAGAGGAGAGAAGAAGGAGAAGGAGAGGGGAGAGAGGAGAAGGAGAAGGAGAGGAGAGAAGAAAGTAGAAGGAGAAGAGAGGGAGAGGGAGAGGAAGGAGAAGGAGAGGAGAGGAGAGAGGGAGAAGGAGAAGAGAAGGAAAGGAGAGGGAGAGGGAGAGAGAAAGGAGAAGGAGAGGGATAGAGGGAGAGAGAAGGAGAAGGAGAAGGGAAGAAGGGAGAGGGAAGAGGGAGAGAGAAGAGAAGGAGAGGGAAGAGAGAAGAGAGAGAGGGAGAGGGAGAGAGAGAGAGAGAGGAGAAGAAGGGAGAGAGAGAAAGGAGAAAGGAAGAGGGAGAGAGAAGGAGAAGGGAGAATAAGGAGAGGAGAGAGAAAGAGAAGGAAGAAGAGGGGAGAGAGAAGAGAAGGAGAGGGAGAGGGAAGGAAGAGAGAAGGGAGGAGAGGGAGAAGGGAGGAGAGAAGGAGAAGGAGAGGGAGAGGGAGGAGAGAAGGAGAAGGAGAGGGAGAGGGAGAGAGAAAGGAGAAGGAGAGGGAGAGAGAGAAGAGAGGAAGAGGGAGAGGGAGAGAGAAGGAGAAGGAGAGGGAGAGGGAGAGAGAAGGAGAAGGAGAGGGAGAGGGAGAGAGAAGGAGAAAAGAAGAGGAGAGGGAAGAGAAGAGAGGTGAGAGAAGGAGAGGGAGAGGGAGAGGAAGAGAGAAGGAGAAGGAGAAGGACAGAGGGAGAGAGAAGGAGAGGGGAGGGAGAGGGAGAGAGAGCAGGAGAAAGGAGAGGGAGAAGGAGAGGGAGAGGAGAGGGAGAGAGAAGAGAAGGAGGGGGAAAGAGTCGAGAGGGAGAGGAGAAAGAAGCGAAGGGAGGAGAGGGGAAGAGAGGAAAGAGAGGGGAGAGGAAAGAAGAAAGAGGAGAGGGAGAGAGAAG